TTCGAAGCGACGAGCGGTATAGATAGATCTAACGAGTGAGAAAATCGGAAAAGTGATTCTTCTCTTGGTAAATAAATTGTTTGGTAAAAGTATTTTTGGTAAATATCATCTTGTGAGTCAGTAATAACAGTTAGAAATTTTCAACCTATGTATTTATTCGTGTTTTTTATTAGAACAATGGCAAAACGTTGAAACACGAATGAGCGAAGATGAGCTCCAGATAGACGATTATACAGATATGTTAGAAAGACAACGCGCACGCTCTTCACTCGCTACAGAAATATTGTAAATACTACAGTAGATATAAATATTGTAAATACTACAGTAGATATAAATATTGTAAATACTACAATAGATATAAATGCTGTATTTACTTGATAAAAATGTCAAAGGAAATGTAATCATCTTCGGGCACATTTTATTCGTAAGAAAATTGAAAATAACGATTTGAAACAGTGAATTATTTCGATTACTATAGTTTGCTTTTAGAAATAACATATCGAACTGCTGCCCACTTGTATTTCGTCCGAGAGAGATCCATTGAAATTCGACACTAATTGGAGTTTCGTTTACGCGGTCGCGTACAAAGTTGTGTTTACATGCCAGTGAAATACACTCTCGCCAACAATAATAATTAGTCGGTAAGATATCGCTACACAGCGCGGAGAGTCTGAAGTGATAGGCTTTCGGTTAGTAAGCAGTTAGAATCGACGACCAGAAACAATTGAGTTTCTGCCGCGCTAATCCATTGTCGGTTACAGCTGGAGATGCAAACAATTAAGTTCGTAGACTAACGAACCTTCAGAATTCAGACGCAGTTGCAATGGACAAACAGACTGCAAGATGGAACTTTCGGTCTGCCGGCAGCGTTCGCTGACGCTATCATTAACATTCTATTATTTTTAGAATGCAAAAAGTAAATGTCTCAGTTCGTTGTGTGTATTACGTTCCAAGAAGTTTCGTCGAATACAATTCAGTTCCTAAACGTAATCTGCGCGAATGAAAAAGGTAATCGTGTGCTAAGAAGGTACATATTGCACAATTTGGGACAGCACCCATTGGTGATGCATTCTGTTCCAATTAGACTTGTATTAAATGAAGTACTAGTTGAGATACTTAAATGATTTTACAGATATGCTATAATATATATAATATAATATATATTATTAATATATTATTAATATATTATTATATTATATATATTAATAATATATAATATAATAAAAGAAATGTTATTTCATATAATAATATATTTATAATATTATATATTATTAATATATTAATAATATATAATGTTTAGGATTTCAAGGCGATTTATGGTGCGTACGTGACTTCTCGTACCATGACGGGGGGGCCTTTCTCGGCATTCATGGAAGCTTTCACATCTAGCATCACAACCAGATGGAGCGTCTGGGTTCGACACTCGAACGTCTCCTTAAGGCCCCAGGAGCCGAGCGACGCACCATAAATCCCTCAATCGCTTGCGGACCCCCGGGACAGACCCCAGGTCGCGCTCCACGCCGGACCACCGGGGTGGGAACATTGCAAGGCCCGGTCGGTCTTAACGACCAAAATGGGCGGAACTATTTACAAATTTGGGATTGGCTAGTGGACATCCCGATCTTGCGGAGAGCCTCCAAAGGGGTAGGGGTTGGAGTCGATGTAGGAGGTGGGCCAAGAGATTGAGAGGCAGAATCAATTCTGACACCGAAGGCAAACGTGCTCTTCGCGGATAGACCAGGTCATGACACATACAGTGAACTAAGCACAGAAACAACGGCTCTTGCCGGCCATCTCTTGATGGTCATCTTCAACACACGAGCGTGATTGTGCACCAGCCACAAGTCAACCCGCGCTTGTTAACATATAATATAATAAAAGAAATGTTATTTCATATAATAATATATTTATAATATTATATATTATTAATATATTAATAATATATATTATATTATATTAATAATATATAATATTATAAATATATTATTATATGAAATAACATTTCTTTTCGAATCTGTTACAAATAATTATTTTGTACACGAAACATGAAAAGCAATTTCCGTTAAGATCTACAGAGTAAGTCAAACTTTGTTAAAGTCTTCAAGATGTGAAAAGTTTACCTGAGACAGTTTCTAAACGTTTTTTACACCGCAATTTGTAGACGATTGAAGACTGGCGATTCCATTTATTCGAAACGTGTCTGTATCGGGATTACCAAGAGAGTGAAAAATCGCGGACTAACAAGCGGGACAGTGCATGCCTTTCTGTACCCCTGACCCTGACGATGACAAGCATCCGGTAATACGCACCAAGGCGGGCACCCTCCTCTCAATATCGTTCGCGAGTGTAGAAGCCGCAAGGTCGTCATCAGAGAATCAATAAGAGGGTACTAATTCCAGGCACTTTGCGTACGCGATCACACCAGTTAACCCATTAACACCCTGGCAATGAAGTTAATGCGATATTTACGTCAAATCATTAATTACCATACTGCGGATTTTATGCATTTATGCCGAAATTGAGTAGTCACGATTCAAAATGATAAAATGATTCAAAGAATTCAACAATATATCTAATAAAATGATTAAGGAAAGAACTTGCTATTTATATTCCGTTTTTTGCAATTGATGCAGAGAATTTTTATTTTGCACAAAAATCCGCAGTCTATTAATTACTTGCAAAATTACTCCAAAACGAATTTTTCTATCGATACTTTTTGAGACACGGAATACAAAATATAAATGCGGTTAAAATAACTTATTACTAACAAGTAAGACACATAATAAAATTTGTATATTATTTTTTGTCGAAGTATAAAAATTGCTTTATAATGCTAAGTAAATATTATATAGGGTGTCCCATATTTATGTTAATACCCGGAAAAGGGTGATCCCTGAGATCATTTCAAGTAACTTTTTCCTTAGCGAAAATACAATCCGAAGCTCCGTTCACGAGTTATTAGCGAAAAACAGTAACCAATGAGAGGCGAGAGCAGCTGCCACGAGACGGCCGAGCCAATCAGCGGAACTAGGCTCCGTGCGTTCGTGGGCTCGGCCGCCTCGCGTCAGCCGAGCTCGCCTCTCATTGGTCACTGTTTTTCCTTAATAACTCATAAACAAAGCCGCGGATTGCATTTTCGCTAAGGAAAAAGCTGTTTGAAATGACCTTAGGAATCACCCCTTTCCAGGTGTTAAACCTTTGCACTCGTGTGGCGACTCTGAGGCACCACTAAAATTGTTACATCACGTGCCAAGATAATTTTTATATTATCAAAGTTTAGAGATAAAAAATTGTTACTATTGTATGAGTCACAAGACTGCAATGCATAAAATGCACTTTGTCGTATAAAATGGAAATACCATAAGTGAGAAAAATTAATTTACTCATACTGATTGAAAGGAAAAAAAAGTAGACAGTTATTTTAATATCAAGATCACGTTCAAATCTTGAAATATAATAATATCACAATATTGAAGAACGTTCAAGCAATATGTGGCATAAAATTGAACGCTTTATAATGTCTAGAATATTTACAAAAAATTCGATATTCCTTTTAAAAAAAAGTACAATGCGTTCGTATGTTTCCCGCCCAAAAATTCAATGGAGATGTTGTTACGCGACATTTATTTGTTTTCACCTATTGACTTTCGATTTAACATTCTCTCGCGATACATTAAAATCGATTTCACGTCGAAATGAGAAATTTGATGTTTCATTCGTAAATATAAATGCGAAAGGTTTCCATGGACCAATATGTGTGAGTAACACATTTGCGAGCAAAATGACTTCCATTGACATTTTATAACAATTACTAATTTGGGTGAATTGAAGACCTTGGAGCCGTGCGAGAATTTTCTCTGTGCTCTGTCCCACATTGCCGCCTCTCAATAATCCCATTCATTCTCCTCGTCGAGCAACTCGACCAGTGAACCCAGCCAATCGTAAACAATTACACGCCCTCGGCTTTCCCATTTTAACAGCGACCAGCCAAAATCCTGTGTATTTTTAGAAAATTCGCTTGGATATTTTCTGGGTTAATTGACACACCGCTGCCTTCGTTTCAAGGCTCGTTGAAGGTTAATTCGATTTTTCGGAATGCTGCGACGCTCTGGTTACAATCCCAACGAATTTCGCGTTCTACGAATTCATGTTCACTGCAACTATAAGAAATGCGATCACTAGACCGCGGATTTTTATGGAAAACGAAAATCTGCATTAATTGCAATATACGGGAGCTGCAGATATATTTATTTCTTTTATTAATAATTTCAATGAGTTGCAAATAATGCAATAATGTTTCTAAATTCTCTAAATGCTTTTACTGTTTTGGGATTGATCAACTCATTTTTGCCATAAATGCGTAAAATTCGCAGTCTAGTTATTATCAAAATGAATACACGGAGTGTCTCAAAAATGTCTCGTAATTGGGAAATGAAGGCTCCTGAGGTCATTTGAAGTAACTTTTTCCTTAGCGAAAATGCAATCCGCGGCTTCGTTCACGAGTTATTAACGAAAAACGTTGACCAACGAGAGATCGCGTGCGGCTGACGCCACGCCCTCGCGACCCCCACTACTGCGCCAAATGGCCGGCGCGACGCGACACTGGTCGCAAGGACGGGGCGCCGGTCGCGCTCGCTCTCCGATTGGTCGGCGTTGTTCGTTAATAACTCGTAAACGAAGCCGCGGATTGCATTTTCGCAAAGGAAAAAGTTACTTCAAATGACCTCAGCTACCCCTCATTTTCGGCAGTTAAAATAATTGTGGAACACCCTGTATAATATATAATTATAATGATATGAATTATATAATATGTAATTATAACGATATGAATTATATAATATATAACTATAATTATTTATAATACATAATTATTCGAACAAGACAAAATCCATATATTCGTCATTCTTAAGAATTAAAAACTAGACACTAAAGATTTGAAAAATATTAATAGAGAAATTCATTCTTGAGTTGTTCTTCTCAATCTGTTATTCTATTTTCAGGAATGTCAACCTGAATTCCTGCACGACCTCGTCCTAAAAATGAAAGCGTACATATTCACACCTGGCGATTCGATATGTCGAAAGGGCGAAGTGGCCAGGGAAATGTTCATAATAGCGGACGGAATCTTAGAGGTGATCAGCGAGACCGGCAGAGTGCTGACCACCATGAAAGCTGGAGACTTTTTTGGGGAGATTGGTATACTCAATCTCGATGGATTAAATAAGTAAGTAACTGTAATAGTACTAAATGTATAGTACTAAAGTGTTTCTTTAATTTCTTCAGAATGTATAGTGTGTTCAGTTTGAACGTGCATATACACTCTATTATTTTCCTAAACATTTTTCAGCATGTTTAAATGTACTGTATATATACATATATACATATATATACATATACAATATATACAGTGTATTTAAACATTCTGCAAAATGTTTAGGAATATAATAGAGTGTACGTGCACGTTTAATCTGAACACACTATATAAGTAGCTACGTCAACGAGAAATCGACTTACCATAAACATATGTACATATATTTTCAAAATAATTAAATAATATTGTTAAAATTCGTTATTTATATTATATATATATTATATATTATATATAAGCATATTTCCAAGTAATAGTACGTTGTTGTGAACGTGTATTTTTTATGTAGAATGTGGGCGTTCGACTCGTTTTGTTTTTTTCTTTTTTTTAGAAAGGCAGATGAAAAATCGCGCAACGTTAAATTTGAATTGTAGATCGTGTCTGGAAGTGCCTCAAGAGAGAATGCAAATATTTGTCTTGTTCAACAGAACAGTAACCAGCGGGCAATAAAAATGCAATGCATTCACTGTACAACGTAGCACAATTCTTACACCAACCAAGAAAGTAAACACAATCCGGATTTATTCCTTGCATCGCGTTGCTATTATACAAAATATTTAGATCCATCAAGAAGCATTCGGAATGCCTGCTACAAAATCTATTTACTATATAATTCCACTCATCAGTCATTTGTTAACGCACAAAATTTTAA